TCGCATCGCTGAGACCCGAGATCCTCCTTTCTCTGGACACTCAGCTTTGCCCGCGGGGCTGTGGCTGTGTGTCTGGCAGCAGTGACTCTGGTTGGGTGCAGGCAGGCTGGAGGGTACCAACACACCGTTACCAAGAAGACACAAGGAGGGGAGTGGATTTTGGGGCTCACCTGTGACTCTCTGTCATTGTACCCCGGCCACAGGTTGGATTATTCAGGAATTGCACTGCTGATCATGGGGAGCTTTGTCCCGTGGCTCTACTACTCGTTCTACTGCTCCCCACAGCCAAGACTCATCTACCTCTCCATCGTCTGTGTCCTGGGCATCTCCGCCATCATCGTTGCTCAGTGGGACCGGTTTGCCACCCCCAAGCACAGGCAGACAAGAGCAGGTAGGAGTTTTCCATCCTCACCCTGAATCCCCAGCCCCAGGAGGGCTTCACAGCAGCGCTTTGGGAAGATCCCATTGTGGAATGGCTCTTCCTTCTTGGGAGGAGCTCTCGGCATCTGCAGAATTAGTTCCCCCAGAGCACTACGCTGCAGCGGCTCCCAGAAGGAAGAATCTCCATTCTCTTTTTGTGCTGGGGATTTAGATCCTCTGCTGAGCAGGGCCCGAGCTCCGCCTTGCACTTTGTGAGCCTGAGGTTTGGAGCAGACAGACAGTGTTTAAAAATAGCCCTGTAAGTGGAATCTGGATGCCCTGGGGCTGTGCCACACGAAGCCACCTTCTCCAGGAAGCAGTTTGGCAGTGTGAACCTGCAGCTCACGCAGAGGAGCAAAGAGATTCCCTCATCTCTCCCCTGCCAGTTCCACGCTGGCACGTACCTGCCTTCCTGGAGGCTGCAGGGCGAGGCTGCCTCCTGCCTGCTCCTCCTGCCCGCTCCTTGCATGCACCCCGTCTTGTCCCCGCTGCAGCCTCTGCAGATTAAATCAACTGCACTGAGCATGGAGAAATGCGTCTGCTCACCTCACCTCCCGGGGGGGGGGGCTCCTGCAACAAAATGTCTCTCATAGCAGCATCCTCACTACATGATGAGAGACGATGCTGAGCCGCAGACCCCCTCGGAGGAGGGCAGGGGACAAGCGGGACTGCCAGCCCCATGGCAGAGATCCCAGCTGCCGGTTCCTGGAGAGGGTTGCTGTCCTTCTCTGGGTGCCAAGCCAGATCCTGCTGCGAGTACAAGCCGCAGCCTCTCTGGGCTGGTGTCTCACTGCAGCGCCGTTTCCTCTCTGTTGAACTAATTAGATGTCGGAGCTGAAAATTTCAGCACTGCTAATTAGCGCCTTTCCCTTGAGTTCCAAGCAACTTCACCAAAAAAATGACTCTGGCAAAGCCTCTCCTCGAAGAGCTGGCTGGGGCTGCTGCGTTCCTCATGCCTGTGAGGCTTCCGTGCAATCCGAAGGACCAGCACCTCTCGAAAGGGCCGTTCCTGTAGCCGGGAACAGGAGCTGCTGCAGCCCTGCCGCTGTACGGAGAGCACATGTCTGCACAGTGAGCTCTGTCCAGTGAGCACTGGGCTCAGCACTGGTTTTGACTGGGATGCAGAGCTGCAGATCCCTCATTTTGTGAAGGATAAATGCCCGGGGAGGGGGTTGGATAATCCAGGACTGAGTGAGGAGAAGCTGCTGGTACCTCCAGGAGTTTCCCTTTGCACAGGACAAGGGTGTTTGGGGAGCAGCACCATTTGCTCCCATTTGCTGGTTTCCTCTCTGCCGCAGGCGTCTTTCTGGGGCTGGGGCTGAGCGGCGTGGTGCCCACCATGCACTTCACCATCGCCGAAGGCTTTGTGAAGGCCACCACCGTCGGGCAGATGGGCTGGTTCTTCCTCATGGCCGTGATGTACATCACAGGCGCGGGGCTGTATGCTGCCCGCATACCCGAGCGCTTCTTCCCAGGAAAGTTTGACATCTGGGTGAGTGTGGGTGCTTCTGGAGGGCAGCTGTGGGGTTGGGGTGGGGGAATGGAGGGTGGTGAGCTCCCAGAGGAGGGGAAGGCAGCTGGGGGTGTCCTGGTGTGCCCCAGCACACGCACTGGCAGCCAGACCTTGCACGGCTGCTGCGAGCGGGCAGGGCAGGTTGAAGTACGGGGTGGAAAATGATGTGTGGGAGCAACAAGGGGAAAAAGGGGGAAGCTCGGAGGATAGAGCTGGGGCAGTGGAGGAGGAGGTGGTGTTCCCGGACTTTTGGTCTGCGAACTTCCCAGACCTTTGGTCTGGTCTAAAGGGCTTTTTCGCTTCCCTGCAGTTTCAGTCGCATCAGATCTTCCATGTGCTCGTGGTGGCTGCGGCCTTCGTCCATTTCTACGGGGTGTCAAACCTGCAGGAGTTTCGCTACGGACTGGAAGGGGGATGCACAGATGACTCTCTCCTCTGAGAGCGCCTGATTTTAGTACAAGCTTCCTAAGTGCTTTTTAAACTCTGTCTTTGCTAAAATCAAAGGAAGACTCAAAACTGTTTGGGGTTGTTGTTTTGGGTTGGTTTGGTTGTTGTTTTTTTTTAAGGAAAAAAAAAAAGAAACAGAAAAATTCTTTAGCAAAGTTGTTGACCAAATCCTCACCCCCTTCCCCACGCACTTCACTGGGGCTGAGGGGAGGCGACGCGGGCGCTGGCAGCCAGCCCTGCCACGCTGTCGTGGCCTCACCTCCTCCAGACAATGTTTTAGCTGCACCGGGGTCATCCGACCTTCCCAGGCATGCCAATTTCCGAAAGCGAAGAGTGTGGGTACCCTGTTCCTGGCACAGCCCAGCACCCTCTTCCCCAGCTCACTGCCAGAGCAAGCAGAGTCACGCACTACCAGGCCCAAGGCCAGAGATTTTTGCATATCCCTCGCAGCAGAGTCGCCTTGCTGGGGGTAGCTCTGTGGCCCCCAGTGCTGCTGCCCAGGGCACAGGCACAGATTCATGTAATTTAAGTTTTAATTGTCTTTTTTTTGTTGTTGTTGTTGTTTTCCTTGACAAAGTAATGTAAACAGAAATGAGAGAATATTTAATATTTAATACTAAGCTTTAAAAAGACTTGCTGCCACCGCAGTGTACTCGGCTCCCTCGCTGTCTGTGGTAGTAAAGGAAGGACAGTGTTTTAGGGGAATGTAGAGCTGCTGTAGCTGATTGAAATAAAAAGGTCAATAGTTCAGTGTCGTGCTGGCAGCGTCTGTCTCATTTTTTGGGGTGGGTGTTGAGAACAAGCTCCTCAGGGCTCTGAGCAGCCCTAGGAGCGTGTCCCCTCAAACGCCCTCCCTCCTGGGCACAGCAAAGGACTCTCAAGCTGGGCAGAAAAGATGCTGCAGCCTGGTTGGTGCAGGGGCACCGAAGGATAACACCCTAAATCAGCAGCTTCTTGCGTAGAAGTGTGCGAGTGACCGTGCAGCACAGACGGTCGGGGGGGATTAGAGGGGAAGAGCTGAGCTGAATAAAGTCCATTACCTTAGAGAGGGGTAAAGGAGGGCCAGTCACTCTGTCTCTGCTACTGTGGGTAGGGTTGTATGGCCCTTTTTTTGGGATGTCGGGACAGCTGAGTCCTCTCCCCTCCCAGCAAACCCCTCAGGACAGCTCAGCTGTGTAAGGGCTGGGCCAGAGAACAAAACCTGCACACACATTTGAACACCCAAGCGCTCTAATCCTATAGAAAGAACAGGGGAAAACATCTGGTGAGTAACTGTGCAGATTTGGATACACGGGAGGCTCTACAGCTGATGAGAGCCGAGTTTAATTCCCCCTCAAAGACCAGGGACCCCCCTCCCCTACAGCCAGGGTCTCAACCAGAACAGGAGAGCTCTGGCTAAGCAGCGCAAGTCAAGAAAAGTGTCTCAAAAAGTCACCCAAGGAACCAGGTAAGTGGCAAAGCAAGAGGAGCACGTACACACACACACACACACACGTGCTCTCTCTGCTTCTGTGCTTCACGTTTTTGGAAATTACGCACCAGCAGCAGCAACAGGAACCAGCAAGGTAGGAGAGACACAAGTCCCGGCAATCCTGGAGGGGTTTTGGGACAGGCAGGGGGTGGACACAGGAAAATGTCACTTTTACAGGACGCCAGGACATAGGAGATGGTTAGGATCTTGCACTGGCATGCATGCTTCCTACAATCCTAATTCACCCATTTGTCAACCATTACTGTGACCCCTTCGGTGTCATTTTCCTCCTCCTCAGGCTGACAGTTTCCTGACACAGTGCAGAGATCAAGCTCCTGCCTGGGCAGAGGAAAAGCCACGAAACAGCTCAGATAATGGTACTCAAGTCTGTTTGAATACAGATACGCTATCAGGAGATGCCAGCAAGCATGAGTATTAACAACAGAAAACCTCACCGGATATGATTTTTTAACTGCTGGCAAAAGGGAACATGCCTCCAGAACTGGAGTTTAAGGACAAAAACATGGGGCAGATGTTTTAATTGTGCTTAAGACTGGATCTTGGGTGAAAAGGCAAGAGGCTGTGCTGGCAGCAGGCATGCAGGTGCTGCACTTCCCCCTCCAGTCTCACAGGGCTTCATGTTTTCCATTCGGGGCTCACTACCCGGATGTCACTGCACAGTTCCAGGAGGGGAAGCTGTCTGTGCTGTTCCCTTTCCAGCTTTACGCTGCAAAAGCCACAGTGAGGAGCAGCAGCAGAGGTGAAGAATGAGTTTGCTGCCACCTCTTGCTCAAAAGGGCTCAAAGCCTCACGGGTTTAAGGAAAGGATCCACAAAAGGCAGATTCTGCTTTAACCAAGGAACTTAGGGTGCATGGCGATAGCATAGAAAACAAAGTACAGCAGTGAAATAGATATTGCTGGAGGTTATTTTCACTGGCTTGCACATTCCCCCAATAATATTCACTTTAGGAATGTAAAACTGCATGTAGATGAATTATTTTCCTTAAGCTGAAATACGTGTAGCAACCTAAATCCACGGGGAAGAGGCTAAATTCCAGCTGTGTTCACTGTGGATGGTCAATGCCACATCCCAGAGAAGAATCCAAAGACTTCAGTCCACGTCCAAAGGACGACAAGACTCCATTTGGTCCTTGTCTTAAATCTCCGTGTATTCTATCAGACACGTATCAACATTACAGCAATGGAATCTATCACAAATAAATAGATTTGTCATCTTCTAAAAGTTCTCCTGTGCAGCTTTACACTGAAAAGTGCTGAAGGTCATCTTGGCATGGTTTGTGTAAGAGACTACCACTGGTGTAAAGACATACCGCGTCTTGGTCCTCCAGCATTTTAAATTACAGCTCAGGTAGGATAGGAACTAGGAGAATGAGGGCGGTCACTGGTATTGTCGGTAGTCACCAAACGGAGAGGGCTGCAACTGGGAGGGGTCATCTGAAAACTGAGGGGCTGTGAATAAGACAAGAGAAAAAAAAAAAGGCAAATCATACAAAAAGGTAAGAGATTCTTCCTACTAAAAGCACGAAACACATTCACAGCATTTTTAATATAAATTCCCTCTAAATCAAGCCGGTAACAAGACTTTACATTTGATTTTTTTTTCATTCAAAGAAGTTCAGGAGCTTTATGCATTGACAAGAGCCTCAGTCCAACGTAGAATGCATTTGTGTCTCCTTTACTAACAGGGAAAGGAGTCAGAGCAGTGAGAGGGAAACATTTTCAGTTATGTGAAAGAGCTGGAAACCTATGCCTTATTGCCCTTCACTTGAACTTGGCCACTCTGTAAAGGTTTAACTTGCCCAACAATAAAGCAAGGCAGTGAAACGGAACAAACTGTGGAGTCAGCTTCCCGACTCCTCTTACCGACGTTCCGCTGGAGGGAAGGAAGATGTTTACTGTATGCCTATTTTAGAGGATAAATTTTAACAGACAGATGATACTCTTTCTCTAAAGCAGATTAATTTTAAAATGTTTTTGGATAAAGAACAGAAAATGTTCTTGAACAAAGAACATCAGTGAACAAACCCAAGAGAGGAAGCCTCCCAGGAATTAGTGGCTTGAATCCTTCCAACACTAGTGGGTTTGTCTGTATTCCCCCCAAAATAAGGTGGGGTGATAGAGCTATTCATTATTTTGCACAGGCAAGTATTTACACAAACAGTTACCCACTCAGCTTGTGTTTCACTTAGGAAAAAAAAATTTAAAAATCTAGTTTTTGAAGCAGTTCAGAAAAAAACCAAGCCACACATGCTGCTCCTTGACTTTCTGCAGCCTTAAAAGCTGGCAACCAGCAGAGCAGACTTCCTCTGAGATAAAGCTGATGACTGGCAGAGGGATGTTAGCAAAAACTGCGCTGTAAGAGCCTTGTGATACCACTGTCTGATGGCTCCTCACCGTTCGGAAACTGCGTGGAGGCAAATCTCGTTAACAGAATACCAGCTCCTTCAATTAAAGCTAGGAGAATTCCTCCCATCGCAGCAGATCCGACCATGGCAACAGGTCCATCTAAAAATAAAAAGCACAAAACAACACCTTTTACTTCTTCGGTGCATTACTTTGCATATTACAGCTCTCTTTAGTTACCATCTCTCCTACAAGCAGACTCAGAAGCAGCACTTTTGCATCCACTGAACCTCATTAGCATCACCAATAAAAGGATAATTACTGGGCAACTCCCCCCTCCCCTCAAGGACACAAAGGAACACCGGTAATGTTTGAGAACATGATTATTACTTTCATAAGCACAGGAGAAAAGTTTTTAAGAGAAATTGAAAGATTATCTGGAAGTAAATTCCAATTTCGGTATCATAAACTGTTGCTTCACTGTAACAACAAGAACTGTACGTTTAGAGTACGGAAGTTTTTAATTGATATCCTCAGTCTCTTACTTCTTGCAGCTAATATGGCTCCAGTCAGGGCTCCACTTGTGATTGAATTCCACGGATCTTCTTTCCCTCTCATTCTGACCATACTGCAGTCAATCATGGAGAAGAGACCTCCCCAGACAGCAAAGCTACCTGTTTAAAAAAAACACAACAAAAACCCAAACAAAAAGCCATTCAGAGAAAGCAGACAAGCCAGCCACGCTGCAGGCACATAACCAGGAGACACGGTACAAGGGTGCTTGCTTCCAGACACGGACGTACGCTCAAACACACGAAGAACCAGAGGTTAAAATCAACCCTGAGAAAAATTCTCGACTCACCAGGTGATACACATCATTACACATACATTTATTTTAGATATACTCTTACTAATTTATATGTAATGACAGGAAGCTTATCAAACAGTGATTAGAATGGAACTCCCATCCTAATAAAGCCAGATTAGCTCAGGGAACTTCCCTATTTTTCACTTTTTAAACACAGTTCTTCATAGAGAATGATGCAGAGGAGTTTTGCACCTTATCATAATCCTGCTTCTGGAATCTCAGATGATCAGTACTGGTCAGAATTGTATGGCAGACACAAAGAGAATGCAAGTTTTTTTGTGTGTTAGAAATTAAAATAACTATTAATCTCCAGGCTCATTTTGGGAAAATTACTATTTAAAATCAGTTCAGCCCTCCTGAATTTGAGGTGTTTTAGCAGTTAAAACCCTGCACACACTGCACAGGCTCCCAGGTGGCTCTGCCCAGAGCGGGTTAAAATATGACAATTATTAACCCTGGCTTATCTCTCCATGAACACAACCATGTTTCTTCCACACCTAAACTAATTCTGGGTGCATCAGAACCATATTTACTCATTGCTTGGACTAACAAACCCCAGTGAAACACAGCTCAGGCATCACTGGGTTACATTCCCAAACTTGGTTATCTACCAACAGTCAACTGACTGCAACAACAACACAAAATTAATTACCTCCCAGCTGTGGAGCTCTTGTTTTTATAGCTGTCAAACTTCCCCGCAGCCGGTGGTTTACACCCTACGATAAAAGAGAAATGACAGTTAAAAAAAAGTCTTACAGCCAACCTGACTGTGTATAGCAAAAATTTGCCACAGATTTCTAAGCTCCCTCAACAGCTGTGATCAGGAGCTGATGGAAACTGCATTTTACACGTACTCCTTTACAATTATACCTGTCAACTACAGAAATTATTTATAGCCATCACACATTAAACAATTTGAGTTCAAAGTTCGTTCGAGTGGCCTAGTGGGGATTAAATGAGACATTTAAAGTAATACTTTTAGCAAGATAAGCATATTTATTTTTAATGCGTATCATTTCTTTGTTCCTATCTGATGCACGGTCACTTGACAATAGTGACACACAGGACACCAGCGGAGCAAACAGCAGGGAGGAGACTCCATCCGTGGAGAAGAGGGAAATCCACCCAGAGGAAGAGTGCCACGGGGCTGCATTAGAGGAAAACCGCACGCTGTTTATTACATTTCCATCAGTATTTTATGTATTTTAGTACAAACACCACAACCCTATTGCAGATGCCCACAGACCAGGAGCAGCGTGCTCGGCTGGCAGCCGCAATCTCACTAGTTG